CCGCCCCCGGGCGGCTCCGCGGGGCCGAAACTCCGCCCCGCGGCCGCTGCGGCGCCCCAGTGGTCTCCGCGACGCTTTGCTGCTCTCGGATTTAGACTGGCGACTTCCCCGGGGCCGAGACCACGCCCCGGTAATAAAGACTGGAGCCCACGTCCTCAGCTCTGACCAAGTGGACTTTTTGTTGGACATGATGGCCGGGCCTGGACACAGCGCAAAAAAAGACTGCTCCACTATGTGGGGTGCAACAGTGTTACTGTTTCCTGTGAGCCTCCTCTGCTCGGCGCTTTAGCTTCCAGAGGTTCCCCAGGCTCCGCGCATTCCGTCATTTCATTCATTCATCGCACTGAGGGTGAGCTAATAGCAAGGAGCCACACGCAGTTGTTTCCTTCACGGTGCCCTCCGTCAATGCTGAGCGCTACAGCAGTTGTTTAATCCTTGCGGCAACCCTGTAAGGTCGATGATGTTACTCCTGTTCAGGATGGACTGCACAATTTGGGGGGCCATGTGCAAAATGAAAACGCAGTGCCCTGTTCAACGTTGGGCAAAGGCTTTGTAAGTAAGGGCAGCAGAGCATTTAACCAAATGCACAGTTCTGGGCCCTGCTCCCTTACAGGTGAGGGAGCCCTGCTTCCTTACGGGGCTTAGGCAGTGGCATGCTCTAAGTCAAAAGCTAGCAGGAAGCGGGGCTGGGATTCAGTCAGACAGTCTGGCTCCATAACCCTGAGCTCCCCAGCTGGGCCTCAGATTTAATTGGCAAATATTGACGGACTGGTGTGGATAAAGAACTGGGCTGGCTGGCTGGGAGGGTTGCAGGAATTGCTAAGCTGGCAGCTTTCAGGAGCTCAGAACTCCCAGCTGCAGGCGAGCCAGGTGCCCTAGGCCCATGCTCCTTTGTTCTTACTGAGTCACCTCAGATCTGGTCACCGGGGTCAGCAAGAAACCAAATTCAGCCATGCAGAGAGAGCCAGACCCCTCTTGGGGGCTTATTCAGGGTTTGGAAAACCAAGGGCCCACCCCGGGGCCCTAATGGGTCACCCCCACTCCTCAGTGCTCTCAGTGCTCTGGGGCCGGCCCTGCAGGGAGCCTGCTGCTGTCCCTCTTCCCTTCTGGGGGCCCTGGGAGGGAAATAGTCATAGGCCAGAAACACCAAAACTGGGGGAGGGGGACACCACTCTCCTAAAGTAGGGATGGAGCAGGAGCTGCTTTGTTTTGGAGGCGAGAATCCCACCCATGGAGGCTTTTAACAGGCAAGAGGGACAAGAGGAGTCCGACCAACAGGGTCAAAATGCTGCTCCAAGGTTTGCACTTAATAACAGTAATAATCACTTAGTAATAAGTGGTTATGCTTCCTGACCTCGAGTAAATTACTTAACCTCTCTTTGACTGCATGCCTCCGTTTCCTTACTGGTCAGTTGGGAACAAGAGTTCCTCATGAGGTTGTTATGGGCTCCTCCCAGGCCAGTGTCCACTGGGCCAGGGCCGAGCCTTTTCAGAGACTAACTATAGAGGAGCCGCCTGCCGTACCCCTTCCTCCTGGTTTTGCCCGGCCGTCCCCAGAGTCCAGCCTCCACCTGTGTTGTGCTGCACAAACCTGGCAGGTCTCCATCCTTGGTCCCCACCACCCTGCGACCCTCCCCTCTCTGGGCTCTCCTAGCTATCTCTGCTTGCAGATGCTGCTTCCCTGGGGACTCCCAAGGGGTGCTGTTTTGATTCCCACAAAGAAGAGGTTGGTAACCTCATTCCCCATAATTACTTCCTCCTGTAAGACCCCACCTCCTGGGAGGCTGAAACCACTGGACTATCCTGCCTCCTCCCAGCCTGGGACTGCCACGCCACCTCACTCTTCACTCTTGGCATGCACCAGTCGGGGCTCACAGCCTCCCCCTCCCCCAGATATTGCTCAACCCCACATGACTCTAAGAACACAGAGGATGACTTTGCTGTTCCCGCAACCTCTCAGCTACCCTTGCCCATGGTCACTGAGCTTGTAGTCACCCCAGATTCCCCCACATTCGAGAATGGCTTCTTGATCTCTGATTTAACCTCATTCCTTGCAAAGAGCACCCACCAGGCCTCTGACTTGCTAGTGCCACACCTCACCCTCGTCAGATTGTTCTTCTCCCCTCCGTTTCATCAGTTGCTCTCTTGAACCTAATCCTTCCCCTGGATCTCTGCCATAATTAGCTTCATCTATCTTGAAAGTCTTCTTTCCCCTCTCATCAAGTGCCCAGCCTGTCTCTGCACCCCCTTCTTTTTCCCTCCCACAACCCACTCGGGTCGGCTGGGTGGGCTTTGCTGCCAGCCTCACCTCACTGAACTCTGCCTGCCCAGACACCTCCCCCCCATGGCCTCCATGTTGCTGAAGCCGATGGATCCTTTTCTAGCTTGTCCTAGTGGGCTTCTCTGGAGTCTGATCATGGGGACTCTCCTTGCAATTCAGTCCCTTTGCCTCTAGGGATACCACCCTTCCCTGCTTTTCCCTGGAGCCGGCTGCTCCCTCTCTGTTTTCATGGGTTCACCCCTCCTGACCCGGATTGGGGTGTGCTCTCCCCTTGCCATCTCCCATGCTCACACTGTCCTCACGCTGACCACTCCAATTCCTACCAAACTCCCCTCTGCATTCCAGAGCCCTCTTACAGTTACCTTGAACCAGCACGTTCAAAACTGACCTCACGGCCTCCCTTGCCTGTGCTCCTGTGTCCCTTCTCAGCAAAGGCAGAGCCGTCCAGGAAGCCCATTCTGCCACGGCTCTGGATAATTGTCCCCCATACCGCCGACCCTGGTGATCTCAACCCTAGTGATGCACCTCGGGTACATCCTCTTCTATCTCCACACCTCCACCTGAGGCAGATTCCACCAGCTTCCCTGGGTCCGGTCACGGCCTCTAACACTCCTGCTTCCCCTCTTGCTCCGGTCCACTGCCTTGTCCCCTGAGAAGCCAGAGGGAACTTTGCAAACTGCAGTTGCTCCCCTGACTAGCTTTTCAACAGCTTGCTTCTGCTGCTCCGGTCACTCACCAGAAGTCCTTCTCCCATTCGCTGGTCCCTCCAACATCTGCCTCCTGCCCTCATCCCCAGCCTCGTAACCTCACCTACTGCCTCTGTCGCCTGTGCACGCCATCCTGCAACCACACTGGCTTCCTTGCCCCCCACCCTGGCTCACGGCTCTGCCACAGGACCTTTGCACATCTGTTCCTCCTGCTTTCCGGGCGCTTCCCCCACACCACCTCCAGATTCCATTCTGCCCTTCTTCCAGGGCTTCTACACAAATGTGATTTCCCCAGGGAAGCCTTCCTCTCACCTCCCCCATCAGTTTCCTTGTTATAACTAGCTATGCACGCCTCACCAGGACGACTGGGAGTTCAACTGTATGGCTGTCAGATTGCCTTTTGCCTCCTCGTCAGCCTGTCAGCAACCCAGGGCTGAAACCTGGTCTCTCTGCCCACTCCGAATTTGGCAGTATCGGATAGAAAGGGGGTGCTCAATAAAAACTGGGTGAGTGTGTACATGAGACTAGTGTGTTAAGTAATGGTAGGACATAAACTGCCCGTCATTATTACTCAGTGAGTGCTTCCTGGACTGGGTGGGGTTTGAGCAGGACCTGGAGATGGGGCAGCAGAGCAAAGACTCCTTGGACAGCCCAGCCTTCTCCTGCCTTATTCCTCATTTGTAAAGTGGACAAAGGTTGAGCAAAATGGGGGAGGCTCTGGCACTCCACGTGCCTGGCCTCATCACCGCCCTCTGTGTTCTCATGAGCGCTCTTCTCTCGCAGGCAGCTACTTTAGGGTCAGCTCAATCTGCCCTATTTCCTCCCAGACCCGGTCCTCCCATCGGGGGTTGGTCTGCCTGCAACCCCGCTCTCGCCCACCAGGCGGCGCTCGGAGACCAACCACGAGGCCGGGAGTCCGGACGCCGCTAGGCTCTGGGCTCGGCTGGGTGGGCGCCTGGCCCTCCTCCCCGCCTCCTCCCGCCGCTGCCCTGGGGATTCCTTTCTGACGGCCCAGGTCTGGGCCTACCGCCTGCAGCAGCCATGCTGGCATGGCGGCCTCCCAGGTACTGACGCTGAGTTCCGCTATGGCAACACCCTGCACCTGTGGGGTCCCAGGGTCCCGGTGCCAGATCAGCCACCACTCCTGGCTGTCCACCATGCCCAGTCGGCTCTGTCCAGCCTCCCTTCCTGCAGCAGCGCCAGCTCCCCAGGCCCTCTGTTCCCACACTGACACCTGGAAGTCTTCCTCCAACCCAAGTGCTGGGCCCAAGAGCATCTTAGGCTCACCCTGTTATGTTCCCTTTCGCTGCAGGGCCTTGAAGCTAGGTGCCCCTCAGCACCACCCTCCCAGGCTGAGCCCCTGAGGTCAGACGCCCCTGCAACACAGGACGGGGGCCTGTCCCCACTGGGGGGTGTTGAGTGAGGGTGTCCCCTGGGTCAAGATCCCCTCACAGCCCCTCACCAGGGCTGGGCCCAGACCACCTTCCCTGTCCAGTAGCCTTCCTGCCCGGCCACGTACCCAGGCACCCGAGAGAAACCCCGCCAAGCAACCAGCACAGAGACCGAGGGAGGGGCCAGTGAGGGGAGAGAACGGAGCCCCGGGGAGAGAACGGAGCCCCGGTGACTATTCCGACCATTGTGACCTATCCTGACCTCACAGCCATCATCCTTCCCACTGCCAGGTCCGAGAGGTTGGGGGAGACTAACCTGGCAGGGAGCCCCCAATGAGCCACCTTTCTACACCCCCCCCAAAACATAAGGGGGAGCACAAAACCCACGGTCTCCCCCGTGGTTCAGATCGGTGTGTTGGTCTGGGAATGGGGGGGCTCTGGGAGGGGTGCCTGGGGGCAGGGCGGGCCTCGGGGCAGCGGGGGAAATGGCAGAGAGCCCTCTCCTGACCCTCCTGCCCACGCCAGGGGCAGCTCCTCCCGGGACAAGGACCGCAGTGTGACGGTCAGTAGTTTGGTGTCCATGCCTGCTGGCGGGAAGGGAAGCCGGGCCAGCTGCTCCCAGCCCACAGGGCAGAAGGCCCCGAATCGCCTGATCAACGAGAAGTCGCCGTACCTTCTGCAACATGCCTACAACCCTGTGGACTGGTGTGTGCCCGCCCTGCCCTGCTGGGCAGCCAGGCGCTCAGCCCACCGCACCTGGGTCAGCGAGTGATACCCCACCCTGTCTGGACTAGGTACCCCTGGGGTCAAGAAGCCTTTGACAAGGCCAGGAAAGAAAACAAACCAATTTTCCTCTCAGGTAATGTTCCTCCTCTGGGATGGGGTGGAGGGTGGGGGTGGAAAGGAAGGAGGCCCTGGGCTCCCCAGGAATCTAGAGGACAGGGCCTCTTCAGTCCAAGGGCCCTTGGCTGGCCCTCTGACCAGTTAGGGGTCCCCCACCTGCCTCACCCCAGTGGGGTACTCCACCTGCCACTGGTGCCACATGATGGAGGAGGAGTCATTCCAGAACGAGGAGATCGGCCGCCTGCTCAATGAGGACTTCGTCAACGTGAAGGTGGACCGGGAGGAGCGGCCGGATGTGGACAAGGTGTTCATGACCTTTGTGCAGGTGAGCACTTTTCCAGCGAGGGGCACTGCTCTGGCAGGGAGCTGCCCCCTCACCTTCCCCTCTCCCCTCAGGCCACCAGCAGTGGCGGGGGCTGGCCCATGAGCGTGTGGTTGACGCCCAGCCTCCAGCCCTTTGTGGGGGGCACCTATTTCCCCCCTGAGGATGGCTTGACCCAAGTTGGCTTCCGCACGGTGTTGCTGAGAATACGGGACCAGGTGGGTGCACAGCAGGTAGTCAGGGGGACTCCGGGGTCAAGGGCGAAGGAACACGGGTTGCTGACCTCCGGGTCTGTCCCTCTCCCACAGTGGAAACAGAACAAGAACACCCTGCTGGATAACAGCCAGCGCGTCGCCACAGCCCTGCTGGCCCGGTCCGAGATCAGCATGGGTGACCGCCAGCTGCCACCCTCTGCGGCCACCATGAACAGCCGCTGCTTCCAGCAGCTGGATGAGGGTTATGATGAGGAGTACGGCGGCTTTGCTGAGTCCCCCAAGTTCCCCACACCAGGTCAGGGCTCCCTGGCTTCTGGGTGTAGGGAACTTGAGGGACTCAGCAAAGCCTGTCTTGGCCAGTGACACTCTGACCACTGGCTTGGTCATTTACCACCAGCTCCCCTGACTGGAGGTGACCTCTGCACACCAGCGTGTCAGTGTGTCTCTAGTAAAGACCTGACTCTGGCCTCACTAGTGACCCTCTAAGGCTGACCTGGACCCCCTGTCTCTCCTGGAGACTACCTGTAGCGTGCTAGCTCCGGCCCTGCCCAGTCCTCCCACCTCTCACCAAGCACCCTTGATGCCTGCAGTGATCCTCAGCTTCCTGTTCTCCTACTGGCTCAGCCACCGACTAACCCAGGATGGTTCTCGGGCCCAGCAAATGGCCTTGCACACCCTGAAAATGATGGCCAATGGAGGCATCCGAGACCACGTGGGGCAGGTGAGGGAGGCTAGGCATTCCCTGGAGGGGAGTCGGCTTGGGGCAGAGGCAGGACTGGCCTGTAGCCCCACGTCCCGCCTGGTACAGGGCTTCCATCGCTACTCCACGGACCGCCAGTGGCATGTCCCGCACTTCGAGAAGATGCTCTATGACCAGGCGCAGCTGGCGGTGGCCTATTCACAGGCCTTCCAGGTGATCCCTGGCCCCAGTCCAGAGCAGAGGCACCCCACCTCTCCACCTGTCCCTCCTCAGCTCACAGCTAATTCCCTCCCTCCCTGCCTGCCACCCAGGTTCCCTCCCCATGGGGAGGCGTGTGTGCGTGTGTGCGTGTGTGTGCGTGTGCTGATGGCTGCTTGTACCTGGGGCTCCCTGGGGACCTCTGTTTACAGCCTCCTTCCTCCCTCCTAGATCTCAGGTGATGAGTTTTACTCTGACGTTGCCAAAGGCATCCTGCAGTATGTGACTCGGAACCTGAGTCACCGGGTGTGTGTCCGGGGAAACGGGGGACCTGGCAGTGGGAGGGCTCAGGGCCTCCACAGCCCTTGCAGCTGGTGGGGTCAGCCAACTCTCCTCCCCATAGTCTGGGGGCTTCTATAGCGCGGAGGATGCGGATTCCCCTCCGGAGCGGGGCATGAGGCCCAAAGAGGGCGCCTTCTACGTGTGGACAGTCAAAGAGGTCCAGCAGCTCCTCCCCGAGCCCGTGCCAGGCGCCACCGAGCCTCTGACCTCAGGCCAGCTGCTCATGAAGCACTACGGGCTCACGGACTCGGGCAACATCAGCACCAGTCAGGCGAGGACCCCTGGGGACGCGGGAGGCGTCCTGAGGCGTGGCCAGGAAGCAGAAGCCCTCTGACTAGGGCCTTTTTCCCTCAGGACCCCAAGGGGGAGCTGCAGGGCCAGAATGTGCTGACTGTCCGCTATTCACTGGAGCTGACCGCTGCCCGTTTTGGCTTGGACGTGGAGGCTGTGCGGACCTTGCTCAACACAGGGCTGGAAAAGCTCTTCCAGGCCCGGAAACATCGGCCGAAGCCGCACCTGGATAGCAAGATGCTGGCCGCCTGGAACGGTGGGGGCCGCGGCTCGGCCTGACCCACCTAGGGAACTGCCCTCCACTAGCCCCTTCTCTGTGTCAGACACCTGCTGAGTAATAATTCTCCCTTGGTCAGATTTATTATCCTCGATTTACAGACAGCCAAACTGAAGCTCAGAGTTTAAGGGACACCCTCACCCCCAGGGTCATACCTGGGGGTGCCCATTCATGGCACTGCTCCAGAGAGGTGTCAGGGCCGGGGGGGGGGTGCTTCCAGTCAGCTCTTGACCACCTGTGCCTCCTCCTCTTCAGGCCTGATGGTGTCTGGCTATGCTGTGACCGGGGCTGTCCTGGGCATGGAGAGGCTGATCAACTATGCCATCAACGGTGCCAAGTTCCTGAAGCGGCACATGTTTGACGTGGCCAGTGGCCGTCTGATGCGGACCTGCTATGCAGGCTCGGGGGGGACCGTGGAGCACAGGTTGGGGGCATGCAAATGGGGAAGACGGGGCTCCCTGGGCCGCTCCTCTCCTCCCCTGCGGGTCAGCTGTGCTGCTGCTCTGCCCTCTGCCCACCATGAGCTCCATCCCTCCCTGGAAATGGACTAATAGTAGCCACCTAGAATAGCTGTCAGGGCTAAATGAAAGCAAGTGTGAAGGGTCTCCTCGGGGAAGGCCCCCGCCCTGAGGCTGCCTCTAGCGCTCCCTCCATGCCTGTCCCCACAGCACACCGCCCTGCTGGGGCTTCCTGGAGGACTACGCCTTCGTAGTTCGGGGCTTGCTGGACCTGTATGAGGCCTCGCAGGAGAGCGCGTGGCTGGAGTGGGCCCTGCGGCTGCAGGACACGCAGGACAGGCTCTTCTGGGACTCCCGGGGAGGCGGCTACTTCTGCAGTGAGGCGGAGCTCGGAGCTGGCCTGCCCCTGCGGCTGAAGGATGGTCAGTGAGGGAGCGTGGACTGGCCTGGGGCCCGGACCCAGCAGAGACTTGGTTTACTGTGAGGGAGGCAGAGCACAGTGTGGAGGTGAAGGGAAGGCTGGGCAGGTTGGGCCCCCCTGGGTTCTCATCTCCATGGCATGTTAACTGACTTTGGGCCAGCATTGTTCTATTTCAGAGCCTCCATTTCTTTAGATGTAAAGGAGAGCTCCCTTACAGGGTTGATGCAAAGGTTTCTTTAGCTATTAATTGATTCATTTAGTTATTAACTTAGTGACTGCTTAGCAGCAGTAGCTGGTGTGCCCAGATTCTTATACTGAACAAGGCTGGCGTGGTCCTTATGCTCAGGAAGTTTACAAGGTAGCAGGAGAAACAATAAATACTAACACTCGATGCAGAAATGCACAAATGCTCACATGTACTTGAATCGAGTGCCATGAAGAAGCAGGTGACCCCGGCCCCCGACTTTCAGTAGTACTCACCATCACACACCCCTCCCATCTGCTCACCATCTCCCCACGCTCTAATGCAAGCTCCTTGGGAAACAACTTTCTGTCACTGCCATAACCCCAGGGTCTAGCGCAGGCCAGACACATAGTAGGTACACAATAAATGTTAGCCAAATACCCGAAAAGGCCTTGAGCGAGCCCAGCTGAGCTGGAGGGAGGGGGGGTAGGATCTGTGGCAGCTGCCATTAACCAAGAGCTGGAGGATCAGACGGGCTGTGTGGTTGTGGAGAGGAGCTGGGGAGGGAGTTCAGGCAAAGGCAACAGGCTGAGGGAGAGGTGGGGAGGGGCAGGGTGGGTGGGACAGACTTTACTTCAGAGGATGGTGGCTGACTTGGGGGGTGTTCCAGTGGGCAGGTGGAGCTGGCTCCCTGCAGAGTGTTAGGTTAGGTCTAAGAATGTCACTCTGGCTGGTGAAGGGGAAGGGATCAGGGGAAATGGGACGACCAGGTCAGAGGCCACCAGTGGCTCTCAGTCCCTGCCAGTGCTGGCAAAGGCCCAGGCAAGGTAGAAGTGGAAAGGTGTGGTAGGATCGGATCTATTCTGGCCACAGACCCGGCAGACTCGTGGGTGGATTGGAAGCAGGAGGTGAGGGAGAGGGAAGGGCAAGGACGCTGTGGCTTTGGCTGGAGCTGGGTGGCAGGATCAGGGCGTCAGCAGTGAGACGGGGGAGCCTGTGGGCTGCGTTTTACCCTGGGCTAGTGGGGTGGAGTGTGCAGGAGACAGCCGGCAGAGCACCTGTAACTGCTGTGCTGGCAGGACACCCTCTGACCTGGGGGTGGGGTGGGGTGGGGGGACCCCCCTGCCTCCAGGCGAGTCCTAGAGCAGGCTACCTAGTGACCCTCCCTCACCACTGCCCCCTTCTGGACCCTGCAGACCAGGATGGGGCAGAGCCCAGTGCCAACTCTGTGTCAGCCCACAACCTCCTCCGCTTGCACGGCTTCACGGGCCACAAGGACTGGATGGACAAGAGCGTGTGCCTACTGACCGCCTTCTCTGAGCGCATGCGCCGTGTGCCCGTGGCATTGCCTGAGATGGTTCGCGCCCTCTCAGCCCACCAGCAGACCCTCAAGCAGGTGGGGGTGGGGGTGAAGGCACTTGGACGGGTGGGACTCTGGTGGGGAGAGAGTGGAGACCTCAGCGAGAGGAGGGGCCGCGGGGTGGGGCGCCTGGGAGCTCCAGTCCCTCAGCGTGTGGCATCTGAGTAAGTCCAGGCATCCCTGGGGACTGTCTGCAAGGTTGCTCTGTGCAGGTGGGAGATTATCTGGGACAGGCCACTGGCCGTGTCTGTGTGCCTGCCTGGGGTGGGCCTCTCTGATGGGGGCCAGGAGGTCCCTGCGATTGGAGAAGTGTTTCTCTGTACGTCTCTGTACTGTACACATGCCTGCTGGGGCGTATGTGCGGATATACGCCTGGCAGTGTGTAGTTCCCTGTGTGTGTCATTGTGTGCACATCTGGAAGGTGTGTTTGTGTGCCTCACGCCCTGTCTGTGCTGGTTTGAGTGTTTTCAGTATGCTTGTTCACAGGTGCACGTCCTTGTTGAGGGTTGCCTGCTTGTTTCCGCACATTTGTCTACACATCTCTGCCGGTGTCTGCCTGTGTGTGTGTGTGTGTGTGTGCACGCGCGCGTGCCATGGGGGGTGTCCAGTTTGTATGCATGGTGCCTCTGTGTATGTGTGACAGCTGTTTAACTGTGTATGGTCTCTCTGTGTTTGTGTCTTCCATGGCATCGTGCCTTTTGTGTGTGTGTGTGTGTGTGTGTGTGTGCGTGCACACGGGTGCACTCGTGTCTCCCGGCGTTGGTCCCTCTATTGCCTGGCACTACGTCGCCTCTGCGCGTATCCCCTAGTGGGTGCGCATGCGTGTTCCCATCCCCGAGTGGGTGTGCGCATGCGTGTTCCCATCCCCGAGTGGGTGCGCATGCATGTTCCCATCCCCGAGTGGGTGCGCATGCGTGTTCCCATCCCCGTGTGGGTGTGCATGC